ATATAAATAAGCCATCTAAGAGTTTGACTTGGCAACCCAATTTTCAGAAGAAACCATCTAGATGCATCCACACACCAAGATCAAAATGGAACTTGGCACGCTGCATATTTTTCAAGTTATCCAGCTCAAACGACAGACAGATGCAAGGACAGAGGATGTTTCCAATAACCTTGGTCTTTCCAGGACGCCGGACAACAAAAATAAGCTGCTTAATGACTAAAGAGGCTGTTTATTATGAGGCAGTGACCATCTTGTTTAACCTCATTCCTGTACTCAGAACTTGTCTTTTTATTTTGGGTGACACCAACTTTTCACTCTGTTAGGAGGATTCAGGCGACATCGCTCTGACAAATCAATGACAGTTGATATTATTATCAATGCAGATGTAATTATAAATATATATTTAGAGGCCGTTGTCAGCTTGTGGTGCAAGAAGTTCTTCCAGCTAAAACCTTTGACAATCCAGGATTGAGATTAGCACGAATGAGGCCAGAATTAGCCCAGCTCTGTCCTGAACACACATTTCAACACGAGTTACATTATTCCAGGATGAAAAGACCAACACTGCCGCCTTTAAAGGGCAAATCTCCACAAAACAGACAGAAACGCAAAGTGAGGAGACACTCCCTATTGCAACAAGACAAAGGTTAATTTTGAATTCTCTGTTTAAACTCTGAATGGAAGGGATTCAACATCATTACAACTAACATTTCATTTGTAACAGGAACAAAAAGAACCATCACTGTCACTGAGAATATTCTGGGGAAGCTTTCATAGTATTTCAATGTTTGAATCACGCACTGAAAGCAGCGTGCGACTCACGCAAGGCCTTTTCACTAGTCTGTAGATAAGAAATAGAAGAAACAAACAACAAAAAAGGTTTATTTCTCCAACGTTAATCATAAAATCCAAAATGCTGTTTGCCGTTCTGTGGTTCTGATGATGTGCCAGTGCCAGATTTTTGGGGGGTGGGGGTGTCAGCGAGCTAAATGATGGGATGGAGAAAAGTTTCAGGCAACGCTACATGAGAGAAAGAGAAGTTCAAATAGAAGAAAATGCGTCAGCTTGGTTTGGTGGCATCAGTTGATCTAAACTATATTAACAGAGTTTTGATATTAAACACTTTAT